TTCAAAAACCCTTTTATCATTTCCTTTTCTTTCCTATCTCTTTCCACAGCATTATTATAGACCAGGGCTTCATGACCAAAAAATAGTGAATCCATTTGGTTAAGTTTGTCAGATTGGTGACTGGCATTGTGTGAAGACCAAAGGTCTGCATGAATGACTGCATTTTTAATGAATTGACCAGCTATTTGTCATCACATGAACAGAATGTAATGCTATGTACTGCAAACTGCTGTGAAGAATAATGAACCCAGCTTTTCCAAGGCCTGTTTTCATTTCTAGAATAGGAGGGGGCTCCATTTTGAGTTTCGGTGAGAATTCATTGGCCCATATAGAAATATGAGCCAAGAAGGGAGTTTCCTTTTCGCTTGGGATCTAAGACATGGCCGGTTCCTTCAGGTAGGTAGGTGTTGTGTATTCTCAGAGTTTTCCTATATGGGACAGAAGCCAACTCAAGTTACTCTTGTTGGTTGCGTTTGAAGTGGTAAGAACTAGAAGTGTGCGTTAAGCATGGCTGCTGCCAGCAAAATGGTGCTCTTGTGCAAATTAGAGAAAGGCACCCTCTCCTGGCTGGCAGATTGTAGAAAGGCACCCTCTTCTGGCCAACTCTAGGCTTGGAAAAGGGAGTGATGGCTGAATTTCATTCCCACACCCTTGTGCAGGGCACAACCTGCACAACCTCACCCACAGCCCTAAGTGCGTGTGAATATGTGTGGATGGAGAGTATAGGCACGTTCTCAAGAGGGAAGAGAGGAGGCTCAGGAACTAGGAGGGCTGAGGGGACTCTCTTTACACAGTTCTCCCTCCTCACAAAGCGAACCCTGTCCCGTTCTCTCATGTCCTTTCTGAAAGCCTCCTCCCAAAAGTCAAAAGCCTCCTCCCTTTCCTCCTCTGAGTTCTCTCTCTCCCACTTCCCCTTCTGCCTCTTCTCCTTCTCCCAATAATATCATCCATCCACCTCATAGCTCCAACAGGTGACCCCAAAGAAGATCTGCCATTTATTGAGAATTTATCACATTGTGCTAAGCTTTGACACACATTCACTCATTTCATCTTCACAATTCTTTGGTGCTGTTATTATCTTCAATTTCCAACTTCTTAGAGTATTTAAGGAATTTGCCAAAGCCACACCACTAGTAGGGGGCCATGCCAGGATTAGAATTCATGTTTATTTGACTCCAAGTTAATAATCTTAAGCTTTGTGTTAACCTCCCTAAATCTCCAACTACTTCCCTGCTTTCTCCCCTGAGTTCCAGATCGCATTACTTCCTGGCTAGTCACTTGTTCCTATTGTGCCAGATGTTAAAAATTAAACCATTAAAGCGTCAAAGCATCTTGACATGGTGATCTCTTCTTGACAGCATCTTTCTCCTGGAATCTTGTGTTTTGTTTGACTCCTTTCTCTTCCTAATCTTTCATATTCAAGAGGTTCTTGTTTATAGACCCTACTTTTGCCTTTTTTTTTTTTCCCAAAATTTCCCCTACTTTTCCTTTCTTGTTGCCTCCTACTTATTTTAGGATCCTATGATCCCTTACCTGAAGTTCTGCTGCACTTTCTAACTGGTCCTTCATAGCACTATCAAAATTATTCCCCCAGAATTAAAGCCCCAGTGGCCATTCCCCCACTCAAAATTCCTCAGTGCCTCCTTGGCCTATTGCATAAAAGTTAGAATTACCTCCACTGCCTGGCATTCAATGTTTTCCACAATATGACTTGCTTGTCTTTCTTTCGAATGGAAGGAGTAGAGGAAGGAGGAAGGAAGAGGAGTGAGGGAGGAGAGGAGGGGACGGAGGCAGAGGGAGGGAGGCGGGAGGGCGAGAAAGAAAGAACGAAAGAAAGAAGAAGAAAGAAAGGAAAGAGAGGAGAAAGACGACGAAACGGAAGGACAAGGACGCCGAAGGAGGAAACGACGAGAAGACAGAGGAGCAAAGAAAGAAAAGAAGACGCGAGTCAAAGAAGGCGAAA